GAACGAAAATGAAAATTTGCTTGATAATTCAACTACGCTTGTTGGAGAACAATAAAAACACTACACTCAACAAGCCACCAATAAAACTCAACTGCCTAACCTATAACCAAAGTCTCCTTTTAATTTGTTTTTAAAAAAAAGCGCTTGACAAACTTGCCCCGCATGCCGAAGTTGCCCCGATCTCCCCTATATATAAAGAATATTTAATTGTAAGTAAAACGAAAGAATGAAAGTTAAATAGATAATATAAATAAAAATAAAGTAAATGTATATAGTAAAATATTATAAAATAAATAATTAAATATAGTAAGAAAAGAAATTATAATGTAAGTAACTTTAATTTTAGATACACAGAAAACCTGACAAGTGTAAATATTAGTATTAGTGAACATTTTTAAATTTATATGTATTGTAGTTGAAATATTTTAAGAACGTATGCAGTTTATGTATATAATTATATACCTATAAAGCAAATTATATACCAATGATATATACTGGTGATAATTATATACCAAAAACGAAAACTGTAATTGTAATATTAATAATCTATCTTATAAGTCAATTCAATAGGGTAATGTAGCCGAAATATATTTTGATTAATAGACAATTTTCGTTAAAAAAAGATGTAAAAATGTACTATAATCCAACCAATCATATAGACCTGTAGAGAATCATTATCATTATCTGCCATATTTAATCCATTTACTATGTTTTTCATTTCATATTACGTGTTGTGATATATAAGAAATTATATGATTGTTCAATTAAATGAACAAACAAATACATATTAAAAACAGAAAACAGTAAACTTTGGAAAGTAAAAAAGGACTAATCATGACGGCGTTTTTCTTGAATGAAAGATTTATATTGAACGCATGAAATTTATATTATGATATGAATACTTGTAAAAAAAATATATATTAAAATAATTAATTATTAATGTAAATATTTAATTATTTTAATATTTTTGTAATAAAGTAAATTTCATTTTTAGTTCTGGAGTGAATTTTACAACAGACAAGCAAATTTTAATTATACTGCTCTATTTTACAATTATTTATTGTTATAAGTTTATATACATTTCCATTAATTTAATTATTGTGATTTACATTTTTAAATGTTACTTAAATTTCAATAATTTTTAAGAATCATTTTCTATATTTTTGTTTTTAAGGTGCTGCTTAGGTAAGCTCTTTCAAAGACATTTGACAGGATTGAGAATGTAGACTCTGATTTTTGCATCTTTGAGGGGAAATAAATGGTTTTTCTATCGACAAGTTTAGGCACTATGTGTATCGACAGATAGGGGCAAATGGATCGCTTGTTCTCCCCTGCGATCGAATAAAAATTTCTATAAATTATAATCGTAAAAGTGATGCACAAATATATTTAATTACAGTACAATGTTGTGAATAGTTTTACAATATTCTTTGAATTATTAAAATAAAAATCAATCTATAGAATACGAAAAGTTTTTTTCAAAGATTCAGAAATCAAGGTATATTATCTCAATACTATCAAATTTCTCTGAAGGGCTTACGGAATCAGATCTCAACGTTAAAAATTAGAAAGGATGATTCTAAAAAAATTATTAAAAGTGAAACGTTCGGAAATGGAGTTAAAAACATTTATGCCATTTAAATTTATAACTACTGTATAGTGAATCAAGACTTCTTATATGTTGAACTACAGAAAATTAATATCATTGTTGTTGTTTTTCTCAATTAAAACATTAAGAAAGTAGAAAAGGAAAGAAATTAATCATAAAGAAGTTTAATTGATTTCAAAATAAACAGAGAAATATCAGCTTAATAATTCCGAAGTCTTATATTACTTATGTTTTAAAACAGAACATATAATACGTGATATCATATGACCGTCAAACTGGAAACCGACCAAGACATGAATACCATTTTGAAAAGTAGGGCATTTTGCAATCCATTCTTCAGTAACCTCATCTTGAACAATTTCTACTTCAACTTTTTTTCCTAATTTATACTTTTCCAATACGTATCTACAGGACATAGTAGCAAATTCCGATTTAGCATTTACTACGATTTCTGAAAAAAAAATTGGTTTTTTTATAAAGCATACAATACTCATATATAGAAATTATAATGAATTAATATTCGTATATATTATAATAATTGATTGAATAATGTATTGTGTTATTCTATATATATTATATACATATATTGTAAAAATTAATAAACTGTTATGAGAAACAAATGTGTAGTTTTAACACCTCACCCTTTTTAAAATTTCTCTACACGGGCCTTGTTCCGTCATAATTTCGATTATTACAGATGGGCCTGACTCGTGAACGACATGTGCGAAGATATAAGGAATGATAAATTAATAATTGTCTAGGATAAACTAAAAAAACAATTGGGTTGTATATCTTCAGAAAGATATACTTCTCTTAAAATTGTAAATGTATATAAATACTGCTTTTATTTATTATCATCTTATAATTTTTGATTCTTTCTGCCAGGAGTGCATTAAAAAGGCCAACAATCGGGCGGCCTAAGTGATGAGAAATGAAACAGATCTAACTGAGATGGGACGTCCATGATAAAATTCTTAAAATTTTATAACTGATATAATATTATTTTAAACATCACGAGTTTTTTTTATTATTTTATAGTACATCAGTATCTTATTTTATGGGAGAGTGTTATACGCGATATTTGCTAACCTTACCGTACATTCAACCACTCTTGCATTTGTGGTATGCAGCGATACACTACTACCCTTGTGTGTTATGCAGTAAAGTATATACCTATTATATTTCACGGCCTGTTCCGGGATCCCATTTGATATTTCGAATTAGATATTATAAGATTAAAAAGCAATAGTATGCACTTTTTCGTGTGTTGCAACTTTGTAATTGATAATATTGACCTATTTTCATTAGTGACTGAGATTACATCAACTTTCGCCAATAGAAGGGTTAGAGGAGCTGAATTCTTCCCGTGGTTTAGCAATACGATATATATATAGTATCTATATTTAATTTTGATTATTAACTAAGAACAGAGAGATGGATTTAAAGAAAATTGATTTAAAATTTTTTCGCTTGTGGTGAATAGTCTTAGTACGATATTCTATAATTGCTACCAGTAATGCGTTATAGCCCAGACAAATTTGTATTTGGAGGTTCCATGAAGCTATAACTCGGGAGAATTTTTTGGAAAAAATATTTTCATATAAAAGATTAGTTTGAACCTCCTGTTGGTGGGTCTTTGAGCCCTTTTTGCCCATAGGATAACGCGCCACTGCGGGTTACAAAAAATCATTTTAATGGCGGCAGTTTCTCCACCACTGGTAGTGACTACGGTAAATAACTTTAAAAATCCATAAAAACTTTAAAATAAGACATTTTAATATTCTTAATTAGTGACTAATTTCGATCATTATGAGTGGAGATAATGAATAATGGGATTAACCAATACCAGTCGACCCCCCTATAACACTGTTGATAATTCCTTGTTATATGAATTCCATGTTGTACGAGTCACTTAGATTTTACAAATACGTGAGCCGTTCACAGCCCGGTACACGTATTTGTAAAATCTAAGTGACTCATACAACATGGAATTCATATAAAACGGAAAAATCAACAGTGTTATAGGGGGTCGACTGTACGTGTGCTTAAATTTATAATTATCTTTATGTATTGTACACATATTTAACACAGAAGTTTAATAAAGAATATAAAACATACCCACGATGACAGCTTGTTTTGGACACACTAGTTTACTTGTCCCCCCAGATTTGGGAAAAGCAAAATCATCTCTAGGTGCATTTAAATCTAATATTTTCTTAGAGCCAATGTTGACAAAATTATACGCTTCAATATTTCTAGAAGCAGAATTTCGAAACCTGAAATGAAGCGAAAATAAGTATCAAAAAAGTAGATTTTATAGAAATGACTTTTAAAAACTACAAATTTATAATTAAAATACTATAAGAAATAATCGAGAAAAACGATTCGTAATTTTAATTTATATGTATTGAGTATTATTGACAATATTTTAAAATAAAATTTACCTTATTTTGCTATCTAAACTACAAAAATTTATCTCGACTTAATTCTTAATTATACTAATTTTGTTCATATATTAGACACCTATGTTATATTTTGTATTATGGACAGAAATTGAGCCTTAATCTCTACAGATAAGCCTATATTTTATCACAACAATCTGGTTAGGGTAGGTTAAGCTGACTTCAGCAAAATAACAATTACCCTAAACCATGGGCTGTCTAAATAAAATGATTAAATAAGTGTCAATTTACATGTTTATGGACTCAGAAAACTAATGATCTCGAATCTTTGAAAAGTTTATAAAGTAGTAAAAATTAATTATTTAGATGATTTCAAGCCCTTATAAAACTACGGACATTCGTTTGTCTAGACGTAAAAATCGCACTAAAAACTAGTAGGTTTTAAAGTGAGGTATACTATGGGCCGAATTAACATTTGTAATGTCCCTACGCTATAAAATGTGTCTTTACACCTTCATAAAGTAGTAATAAATGTAACAGGCCGCAAGGACCTAAGCTATAACTATGTATAAATTTGATTCTGGGCATACTGTACATGGGTATATTATGAAAAAATATAGTGTAAGATATATTCTACATATACATTACATCTTTTTAAAGTAAATATAATAAAAAAATAAGTTTTAAATATCAAAACAAACCTAATGAAATTATCAACTAATATATGTATAATACAAATATACAAATACGTAGAACGTAATTTTCATGAAGGGTTATCATACGCTTGAAACGTTTAATGCCTTATATGCTTCATAAAATGCATTTCGGCCCCTACAAGACATTAAATGTTTCTAGTCTACGATAACCCTTCAATAAAATTATGCACTACGTATTTATATCAGTATATCGTATTATGTGAGATCGAGCACTTGATTTTGCTATATTTTACGTATCGTTAAGAAAACATCGCGATGAAAAAGGATTGAATGTCGTCTTTCTCATCAACAACTGCTAAGAAAGTATAACAATTTACAGTTAACGGGATGAGAACGCCAACATTCGCCCGCATAAACAGGATGAATATAACGCTGCATGAACCAAAGATTATATTCTACGTCCCGTTTCGACACCTTCTCTTTGTTTCCCTGGATCACCTCTGACTTAACACCTGCAAATTCAACCTTCGTCTTCGACAGCACTCAATCACATGCTCATTTTTCCAGGTCCAAAACGAATATAAGGCGAACACACCCCCACTTCGGATCGATCGTCTCTCCGAAACCAATTTATCCTGTGCATCTTCTCAACTAAAAGTCTTCACCATCAGTTCGATCTCGAAGTACCCGATCGATCTCGAAATCATCGAAGAAGGGAAAGAGGTAGGATGTTTTACAACATTTTGTCAAATCTCTCTCGGATTCGGCAAACAGTTATCGGTATTTAAGACAGTTCTAATACCCTCTCAGCCGTTGATTATTCGTATACGTATCCGAAATCGTGTAACCTTTTGTCGGCTTTTAGTTATTCATTAAAATTTTAATTTTTCTTGTTAATAGTATCTATTTCTCGGGTATCGCCTACACTTTCTCGACGATCCCTCTCCCTTCTCATTCGACCTGACCAGTCGATTCCGAAACACGGGAAATGCGCCAAGAAGAAACACGCCATCCACTGACCCTGTGGTCGGATCTCGCCGATCCGTTGCCGATTAAGCGGTATATAGGGATCCAATCGTTTTATTACCCCCCGGATTTCACAATTATATATGAAAACAGGTATTAAAAAAAGGCTAATAGATATAACTAATACATGTATTTTAAATCTAACGTTAATTTGTTATTATTNGAGAAAAGTTCCGATGTAGTTTGTTTTGAATATTCTGAAAAAAAAATTTGTTATTGATATTATTATATTCCAATATATTTTTAATGTTTAATAAACAGTGATAACTATATTGATTAATGTATTTTTTTTAATTAAAGAACCCTATTTTGAAATAAACCGGTGGTCCAAAAAAGTGAGACACAGGGAAATAACATTTAAAATCAACCAATATAAAATTACAACTACCTGGCTATTTTTTATATTCATGGATTACTAGATTTTTTTCGACACTTTTACCTATTGAAACTTAATAATTCTTGTACCAATAAGTTTCAGTTTTCATAATTAATACAATTTGAACATCAGTAACCTTTTAAATACAGTCAGTCAATTAATTTTAATTTTATATTGGTTAATTTTCAATGTTATTTCCCTATGTCTAACTATTTTTGGACCACCGGTATAGTGTCTACCAGAGTAAAAAACGTGCGCGTAGAATGCACACTGTGGGGTGTAGGGGAAGTGAAAATATTTAGAGGAGGCCTCAAAATTGAATTGCGCTTCGGGCCTCTCAAGTGCTAAATCCGCCAATGAAGATAGGAATGGGTTTTATAAAAAATTGTAGATGCTAATAACGAGTAAAATCGTCATTAAGACCGATCCTACTGGAGATACACACGATTCCCTTCATCTCTCCACCCCTCGACCTTTAACCATCAAAATTTAATAGCATCAATCCCCTAATACACACACCTCCATGCAAAATTTCAGAAATTTTCGACAAAAAGCACAGGATTAAGCTTCAAAAAAGGTGAACAAAATAGTGCCACACACATGCACACTAACATCCACACATACAGAAAAACTCCCAAATTTTTTTTCTTTTTTTTTTCATTTCTCGACGTTTCAGGGTGTCCTGAGTCCAAAAATGTAAAAATCTCGGGTGGGTCATTTTTTGACCGATCGCCATACTTTCCCTCTGTTATATATAAAATCCGGGAAAGTAAACAGAGAAGTAGCAGAGGTATTGCATTGTCACGGTTACTTTCTAGAGAATAAAAGTAAAATCTTAACAAAGGAAAAATAAAATTGTAACTAGTCATCAGGAGGTTAACTCCTTATTATTTTAACTTCAATATTGTGGTTCATAACACGAGAGAGGTCAAAATGTAGTTTTTCATTGTAAATATTTTCACAAATTGAAACCAAAGTTTTCACAAACAAACTATAGGCCAAGTACGAGCAATTATTTATTGTGACATCGTCACAATGCCGGGCTGCAATTTTTAATCATATTTTTAAATCATTTAATTTAAAACATATGCTCTCCACTTCAAATTAGTAGTGGCTTGCTCCTATACATCATACTTTTACTTTAACAATAAAGGCGTACAGGTCATCTATTAACTGCTTTCAAGGAGTTTTGAATTGAAAAAACGTGACTTCCGGTTTGCGTGGGAAGTTCATATATAGTTAATTGGGGCATCCTGTCCATATCTGGGGCCATATTCTGGTCATTGTCTCTGGTCTCTTGTCTCTCGCAAGCCGGTCGCTGATTGGCTAATCCAAATGATTAGCCAATCAGCGACCGGTTTGCGAGAGAAGAGAGACCAGAGACAGTGACCAGAATACGGCCTCTGGTCTCGGGGAAATTGTCCCCTACTTGGGTGAAGACTCAGAAAACTCTGGCCAGCCTATTAGTGAGGCGCAAACCAGTGTGATAAACTACCAGAGATCTGTGGTTTTACCAACTTGATTTGGGCTTCTATTTATCTCTGGAAGGTCTGTCCCTTTATAATGTTAACATGTTACGATAGGCTATAACATGTTGTATCATATTGATAACAATTACAGTTATAATGTTGATTGAATTTTATTGCATCAAATATAAGTTTACGACTATAAATTTAATGCACGAAACCATTTAGATCAATGCATTGTGACGTTTCTGCAGAAGAACTAGAGATATCTTTATTTCAGTGCCAAATTATATAGGTAGAAGAATAGATCAATAATCTACCACTTTGTATTGTACCTATATGTCACGAGGTTATCCCTTCAATGTTCTAATGAATAGAAACTATTTAAAACAAGCGATAGAGCAATACAATATGGTGACTTCAAACATCATCACTAAATTTTTTAATGCTTATTTGTAGAAATTATAAACGTTTATAATTTTGTGTAATGTGAAAGCGAGCACCATCTTACTAAATATTCTTTAAGGACAGTCATTAATTAATGACATTTCTAAATTCGGTTAATAAATATCAAAAAGATAGCTTTTGCGTTTAAATACGCAAAAGCTATCTTTTTGATATTTATTAACCGAAGCCGTAAGTATTAAAAACTGCAGAAAAGTCTTCAGAAACGTTTTTTTCACAAGTATCTTCATTACAATTAATAAACACATCTAGCTGGTCAAATGAATTCAATAACATTTATATTAATGCACTCAGGCAAGTTTACTGTTCCAGGTTATTTATTTCTACATTGTTCATACAACTTTGCTTTCTTTATCCAGCATTTCACTTAAATCAGTTTCTTTCTACAAATATTAGTAATTAGTAGAATGTAGTAGAATGCTTCTAATAGCTATTTTTCTGAGATACGTATATATTTCTTTAGAGCAACAAAGTAAATATGTATTAAAATTACTTAAGAAGGAAAAAAAAAACTCTCAGAATAGTCATTCGTGTCAAAAATAAGAATATGTTTTTATCGTGACATTGGTAAACGTCAGCAAATACGTCTGTGTATTGTCCTTATTTATGAGGAATTTATTATCTTGACTTCAGATTTATATGGGAAAAAATGGTATGGTAACTACAACAAAGTTTTACTTTTTTACTGTTGCATGAAAAAAAAATTCTTTAATTTTTTAAAGTATTAAATTTGAAAAATTACTTTAAATAATAAAATTTAACTATTAAAAACTTCGATTTTACCGAAGTATTTTAATTAATTATATCAAAGATTTTGCAATTAAAAAGAAAAATTTATCTTAAAGAATATTCATGTAAAAATAGAACTTAAAAATATTATAAACA